CGCTTGCTGAACCTCGAAGTGCAGATTTCGTGGCAGGCACAGCACTTCATGAACTTCGAAGTGCTCACACTCACACTCGCACTCACACGCCTCACACTCACGCCCACTCACTCTCCCACTCGCAGACCCTCTCACTCACACTCGCACTCACGCTCACGACTCACCCTCACTCTCGCTCTCACTCTCACTCTCACACTCACACTCACACTCACACTCACACTCACACTCTCACTCACTCTCCCACTCTCACTCTCACTCACTCTCACTTACACTCACACTCACTCTCACTCTCACTCTCGCCCACACTCACACTCGCACTCACACTCACTCTCCCACTCTCACGCACACTCACACTCCCTCTCATCCACACTCACTCACACCCACCTTCACTTCATCACCACCATCACCTCTCTGGACCCCAGTGCGTTTGGATCTCTAGACTTTCTGCTTACAGACCTCACACACACTGTTTGGGGTCTCTTGCCGGGATACTTTGAATTCTTTTCAAAGCAGCCGAACCAGGCCGGTTTCTTGGCATCGTCTTTGCACTTCTGCTGGAGTGTTTCCTGTCAGCTTGGACGTTTGAAGGGCAAGGCCACACAGATTGTGAAACTCAGAAAGAACGAAGTAAGTTGTGTAAAGCCACTGCATGCAGGAATGTGGGATCAAAATGATTGGACAACGTTGGGTGGTTAGTTTCCATGTGTCCATTCTCCTGCTGTGCCCTTCTATCCAGATCTCAAATTGTCAGGCCAACTCTGATCTACAGCAAGTTGTTGCACAACAACTGCGTGAACTGGCACAGACGGATGCAAAGAAGTTGCATGCTTTCACCAGCGCGCAAGGACCCGACAACTCAAACGTTGAGATGCGGATGGTGGGTGCCGGATAGTGTGGCCGGCTCGTCGAACAGGCAAGTTGTCGAACGGTGAGTCTGAAAGTCTCAACGCAATAGTTGTTGGCCAACGAACGTGAAACCAGTCGGTTGAACAGCCGTCTCGGACCATGAGCTAGATGTTGCAGAGGAAGCCCTTGCAGGCATGGATTGTTGATCTTGCTATTCCGTAAGCTCATGGGTTTCTTTGAGCAGGAAGCGGGACAACTTATTGCCACTAGTTTTTGTGTATTTAGCCCGAGATTGATCGACAGACTAGGAGCGAACTGCCAACCCTGGTGGCTGCTTGCAAACCTACTACTTTGCTCTGCCATCAGTCGATGGCCACTCATTTTGCTGATGGTCTTGAACGGCTTTTGCGTTGTTGCGAAGGTGGTCATCGGTACTTTTTCCTGGACATCCACAAAGGACTATATGATGTGCCAATTGACCCTTGGTCATAGCAAGAGAGCAGAGTGGGTTGACGACCCCAACCGCTTGCCCATTGGCCAATCGTTGGCCAAGGCTCGTTCCATAATAAGCCCGGTTCATTCGTTGTTCATTCGTGTTTTCTTTTGAAGTTGATCAAGTGTACGGCGTGTATGTAGAAGTTGAAAGAGTGTGAGCACAACCTGGTGAGGAAGCTCTTCGTAGCAGGAGCATGTCTAGTTTTGCCGCTTTTGGTTTGGAACATTGCTGCATGGGCCTTCGTGCACTTGGCAGTGCGATTGGCTACACACTTGCTCCCAGACCTGCTTCGGAGCTTACAGCCCGGCTTGCAGCCCTTGCCAATTGAGGCTCTCAACTTCTCAACACGAAATAGCTGACACGTGTTTTTGTCCTTTTTCTGAGCAGATCAAGCCATCCTGCGACCCCCGAATTCATTGCTGGTTTCCACGCTCCTCAACCATGATACTGTAGGGTAGAACTCTATCTAAAGCTGTGACATGACAATACATCATGAATTAGGCTTTCATGTGGGAGAAGCAGAGTTTGTCATGAGATGGTTAGGTGTTGGCCTCCCTCTTCAGTTGAGTCTTCATCCGTCCCAATTCTTTTCTGAGCTGTATCCCGCATGTGGGAAACGAGCACAATTTATAAAAGTGTTAAGCAGATTGCCGCCAGGCATTTCAGAACTTGTCCGCCGTAGTTTTTGCTGTGTGGATCATGGCGAAGTTCCTGATGCTTGTGGAGGTCCTTGGCAGTCACCGCTACTACAGAGAAGTGCTGGGTCGCAGGAGGCAAACTGGCCTTCCCAGCATATCGTTCCATGTTGTGGACGCTTTCTATGGGTTTCTTGGATTTGATTAGCCATTCGGCACCAAATGTCCAATCGCAAAAGTATTTGGACATCAGCTACAAAACCAGATGATGCACATCCCAGACGTGGCAGCATTTTTTGGATCATGCAAAATATGGCTTGCAGCCGCGCATATCGAGAAATTAGCTGAACACGAGGTATATCATGATATATCCTGGCTGTTGTCCCGATAAAGCAAAGACGAAAACAGAGACAGCCCCTTCCAGAGGTTGCACAAGTCATCACAATCACTCGAAAGCCGCACCTCATTGTTGGGGAAATAGCAGCGAGCCACAGTTCTCAGAACAAAGTAGTGATCGTCTTAGCAACCAAAGGTTTCAGTTGCTTTGCGAGTGCCTGCTTGAGGAGCAGTTCCAGAAGAAAAGAGGCCATAGGATTGGGTTTACCGGCAGGTGTATACAGCGCAACCAGTGCACATCAAAACCTTGGAACCTCTATGTAAACCTTTGCTTTCAGAATCCTGAAACCATCAGAAACCTTCAACTACCCGCTTTCACCTGACCTTTGCCAGGTTGTAGGTCAGAACAGAACCCAAAAGGTAGGACATCTGTAACATGAAACAAGATTGAACACTCCTTGCAGGACACATCAGCATATTTTGCAACTCCTGAATGGGATTGACTAAAAAGTACTACAAAGCAGAGCATGAATTCGCACAAAGCACATCCAATATCAGATTGAACATCTCACGAAAACTGGGCAGGTGATTTCATAGTGTTTTTACTGGAGTCGCGAGGCAGATCCTGCATCACGAACAGGCGTGCCATTGTGGGCTGTTGCTCGAACCAGAGATTTAACCACGGGCAAAACAGCAAGAAAGGTGGCAACGAAGCTGACATGGAAAAGCGTAGGGAGCTATCCCCTTCGTCTCAGTTCTGCCCAAAGCGCAATCAAAGCAACTCACAAGGTAATCCGACTCAGAAAGAGCCTCAAACGGAGGTGTCAACGCTGAGAATGCTGGCTGACTGTGCGCTGTAGAATTCAGCTGTGTGCAAGTTTCCCGCATGTATTCCGAGCACTTTTTGCAAGTACCCACGTGCAGTCCACATACTTTAAAGGGTAGAGTCCAAGTAGAGGTTGCGCGAAGGAACAGTTATATTATCAGCGTTGAGTTGAGGATGCTAATTCGTGCCCAGAAACAACGTTCTGCCAAGGAAGTTTTTATAACTTTTGACTGTGTGAAACATCCAAGAGACAGGTTTTCCTATACGATCGTGGCCTTCCACATTGCATGGGCTTCGTTAGAGCAGGCCTCCTTGCTTCAACGGCGTTGGTTGCCGGGTGGCTGGTCGCCTATTGGCATTTTCCTCTCTTTGATCCTGCGGGGTGCTTTCCTGCCTTTTGGGACCCTTGGCATGTTTCCTGCACCCTTCAGGCTGAAGAATTTGAGACATTCTCCAAGAACCTCTGGACAGCGGGTGATTGTAAGATAGTCCAACCCCAGATTAGTCAATGTGTTCTTCTAGCCCAGAGTGGAACTGACAGGAACCCAGAGTACATTGCTTCAGAGGAACAACAACAGCGTTAAACCGTTAAGAAGGGCAGGGTCAAAACATCTCGGAAAGACCAGTCCAGAGTCAGAGTATTTCCGAATACTGCAGATTTGCGTGATAAGAAAAACTGCTTTTTGAGGTTGGAGTCTAGCCTTTTCCTTATAAGAAAAATGGCCGAGTCTAAACTACATTTCTTAATCCAGGGTGTCCATTCACTAGGTTATAGTATTAATATTTTCAATTGAGATTTTCTACCAAAGATAGATTCCAAGTCATTTACCTTCTCCGAGAATTAGCTTCCAAATCCTCTTGTTGAGTTAAGATATGTTAAGATTCTCAGCGCAATTACCAACCGCAGACCAGAGTAGTCCAGACGAGGCGTTGCTAAAGCCGCTAAAGGCATAACCACGAAAGCCACGAAACCTAGCTGTGCTATGGAGTTCCTCTTTCTTTAGCGATTTGGGAGGGAGAGAGCCATCTCAAGCAGGATGACTACGGGAACTTTTTTGGTCGATTCCATGGCTGCGTGGGAACAGCGAAGCTGCTCACCAACGGTTCCAAGATTGAGAAATGTTTAAGCAATCAGAGGAGCTCTGAGAAGGTGGAATTGTGCCTACTCGTAATATTCAAAACCGCAGTAATTCAGACCGAAGCAGCCTGAAATAATCTAGAGTAACCACAGTATCTTGTAGTCCAGAATGCTCGGATTTAGCTCAGCTGAGCTCTGTGGTCGCAAAGCAGTCTGTTTGAGGATGAAACTGAAAGCAGCAATGTCCGGCCCTCAGGGCCCTCCTTGCATGCGTCGCATGTCTTTGCTCGGACGGTTCGACATAGACAGCTCGATGGGGAGAATGAGTGGAATGATTCAACAGACACATCAGGCATCAAGTACGCATGCAAGCTTTTGAAGAAACAAGTTCTTGCAGGTTTGAAGTAGGCTTGCAGCAGATCATTCCAAGGGCACGTTTAAGAAGAGATCAGTACTTGAACTTGCTTGTTTGATGCCAGTTTCATTAAACATCAATGCAACGCGGTTGTGGCCAAGTTGCAACAGCTTACTGCAAATAAAATGAGGTAACAAGAACACTTTTTGAATTCATAATTTATACTTTAACCTTTCGCGTGCTACAACCTGCGGAAACCTGATGATGTGATGAAGACGTGTGAAAGTGTACAGCCCCCAATGTCATATTGAACCGCCCAAACAAGTAACTGATGCTCGTGTTAAACTTGGTCAAGACTATCCGAAGTAAAGCAAGGAAGCAGTTTCTAAAGCGAATGGATCCCGCGAAATGCGATTAGGACACATGCAAAACATTGCAAAACCACAATTTCAACAATGTGTGCGTGTGCGTCTGCGTGGTGTGTGACTAAGTGTGTGTCCCACCCTGTATTCAAGGGTTCCGCAGGGGGTGGTAGCAAGGCAGAAAGTCTACCACCAACGAAGACACTCTCTAAGCCTTGGTAATACTGCCTGCACCGTGACAACACACTACTTTTCCTGCGCTGTTCTTTGCTAAGGCGGTTCATGTTCCTTCCCCCCTAAACCTTTACAGAGCAGCCGCGCTACGCAGTTTTGTAGCCACTTCGAACCTTTGTTCAAGCACCTTCAAATTCACCGACCCAGCATTCTTTCCGTTTGCGCTACAGTCAAGGGCCGTGCATTGGTGGATTATCGCTTGAATGCACCTATCGAAAAGTGTGTGTGTGTGCGCGCCTGTGAAACCCTTCATTCTTGAAGTCACCGCTCAACGAAGACGCTTCAAGGTTGCTGTGATATGCAATCTGGACGCAGATTGCGCGTACCTGCGAGCAGATGTTCACCTTTACTTCCTCCTTGGACCCGCATAACTAGAACAAGACTTCTATTTTCTAACAAGCTTGACCGACTTGCAGATGCACCTTGTCGCATTCCGGGATTGGACTTTAAGACTTTGAACCACCCTTGTCGCGAGACCTCCAGGACGGTCAGACCACCTTACACGCCACCGTCAGGACTATGGTTAGCTAGGTCGCCGTGTCGCAAGCGGCTTTCAGTTCCGCATGAATTTTCCCGAGTGTGTCTGGCCTAGTGCCAGCCAGCACTGATCCCGAAGAACGCTTTTACATGGCCCCGTTGAGGTTCGTCCACGTCCTTGCGCCGGGCTGGCTAGAGCAGTCCACAGCGGACGGAGTAGGCTTGCGCCAAAGCTACAATACACAAGACTTGCTGACCTGGACTGATTTTTGAGCAGGCTGAAAGCTGGAAGGTGTCCAGAGTGGACTGGAGTAGGTTGAACGCCAGGAGTAGGCCACAGCGGCCGTACCTTTTCTCAAGGCCCGGTGGACCGTCCTGACCTTGAGCGCACATACGTACGCGCAAGAGAAAAAAGGGATGAGGCGCCAAGACGCGAAGACAGAAAGACATGAAAAGACAAAGGAAAAAGAGTGTGTGCAAAGGCTGCAAAGGGGAAAAAATCAAGGGGGAACCAGATGGAAGGGCCGGAAAACAACGAAGCCAAGGTCCGGCCCTTAGTGTACACGCGTGCTTGCACTTGATCCCAGGTTTGGCGTCGCCCAGGTTGTTATAAGGATTTTGCGCGCGCTCGCATGTACATTTAGCTTGAACATTAGTTTTGCTGTTGCCTCCCTTTACGGGAGGCGTGTGTGTGTGAAACACTTGGAGTCACCAGGAACCTTTTAGTTGTTTAACTGTGTAGGGCAGCGGTGAGAATTCTTGATGTCACCGCTCAACGAAGACGCTTCAAGGTTGCTGTGATATGCAATCTGGACGCAGATTGCGCGTACCTGCGAGCAGATGATCACCTTAACTTGATAACCTTTACTTCCTCCTTGGACCCGCGTAACTAGAACAAGACACTGAACAAGACTTCCATTTTTCTAACGAGCTTGACCGACTTGCAGATGCACCTTGTCGCGTTCCGGAGTTGGACTTTAAGACTTTGAACAATTTGGGCAACCTCCCTTTTCACGAGACCCCCAGGATGCTCAGACCACCTTACACGCTACCCTCGGGACTATGGTTAGCCAGGTCGCTGTGTGGCAAGTGGCGCATAAGTTTTCCCAAGTGTGTGTGTGTGTGTATGTCTTTGACAAGTTTCTTTTTGAGTGAAACGCGTTGAATTTCAACAAATCACGCAGAGGATCAAACAGTAATAAATAAATAAGTAAATATGTATATATATATAGATGTAGATGGCTCTCGATTCTTCAGATATCAAAGCCCTGCTTCTGGAAAAGAGGAAGAGGTTCGAACAAAATATGCCAGCGTAGACCCCAGATAACAAAAGGTGTTTGTGGGCAGCACACTGCCGCAGCGCTCTGCGGCGCCCTCCAGCGGCGCCACCGCAGGCGCCGCGCGGCGGCGCCGCCCAAGTGCCCAAACACACACCGCAGCAGAGGTCCCTTGAGCGGCGCCTTGCAGCACCAGGCTCCAAAGCGCGACGAGGCACACACCCGGCAACAACACCAGCGCGCAGGCTCCAAAGCGCGCGCGGCCACGTGCCCAAGATCCAAAGTGCACACAGCGGTGCCCTCCAGCGGCTCCGCGCAGCAGCGCCCTGCAACACCCAAGCCCTCAACCACACACAGCCGCGGCACGGGGCCAACGCCCAAGCTCCCAAGCGCACGCAGCAGCAGCGCCCTGCAGCGGCACCAGCGCCCAAGCTCCCAAGCGCGCGCAGCAGCGGCGCCTTGCAGCCGCACCCTGCGCGCAAACTCCCAAGCGCACACAGCAGCGGCGCTGCAGCGGCGCCGCCACCCAAGCTCGAACACGCGCACGTGCAGCTCTTCGTAAGAACCGCGCTAGTTCATGCCATCTGGGGAAAAGCACACATGCCTCACGAAGACAAATCTTGCCGTCGTTGCAGGGTAAACAGGCATCCGAGCAGCTGGTTCTCAGTTGGCTGCAGTGTCGTTACCTTAGCTTTGCAGCGCGGCAGCGCTCTCGTATTCTTGGAATAAGGATGGGCAAGCCAGTTGAAGGCGCTTTGAATTCTCCGCAGGGTTTGGATACAAGTCGGGCTTCTGCCTTGCCTCCAACATTTCTGGTCGTTGCTTGACCTTTTCTTCCCCTGTCGATTCTTTTTGAACTGCGGTACATGTCACCCGTTTTCCCTGTCACTTCCTGTCACTTCTCCTTCCAGCTATACACTTGAAGAATATGATTTGTTTGCGCTCTTGAGCATACTGAGAGCTGCATGTTTGCGTGATTTGGGTTGGACGAAGGTTGGTCCTAAGATGTCCTAAGAAAAGACATGAGGAATGCATTGGATGTAAATGTATCGCATATTTATATATATATATATATATGTGTGTGTGTTTTAATAACAGATTCTGGTATTGGCTTGCTGTCGGTGAATTTTTTCTTCCCTGGTACCACACTGTCAGAGCCTACAGGCTTGAAAGTTGAGCTGGTAGATGGCCATGTGAGGTATTTTTCTGTGCATCGATTGCTCCATGTGCAACCCTTTTATACCTGCTGGCACAAGGACATGTAGATGAGCATGGGTTTCAAACGCACCACATGAACCTGAGACCACATGTTTCTGAATCTGTAGGAACATCATTTCTCGGCATCGCAGACGTGTCTCACAGCCTGCCAGGAGTCCGTGTTTTCAATCAATCAAGAGAGTCACAGAGAGTCTTTTTTATTTGCATATTCAATCATCAAGAATGGAGTGAGATCCGCTCGAGCAAATTCTTTTCAAACCGTTTGACGAGCAAGGGTTCTTTGGTCTTTTGAGATAAGCCAGGAGTCTGGTTTGCTCGAGAGCGGAGCTGAGGTGCAGGGCTTGCAAACGACCTATAGAACTGATTTGTCTCAGCGTGTTGTGCAATCAGAGCTCATTGACTCTATAGTGCAGTTGCCATCCTCTTGTTTGTTGCATTACCGCTCTTGTTGTGTTCTTTGGCCGCTCCGATGCCATGAAAGGGAATTTGCTGCCCCTAAGCTTTTCATGAGAAACATGTTCGCTGGGCAACGTCCAAAATTGTAGGTTCCAGGTTGTGAGGATCATCTTCTAGAGGGGCCTCGCTTCAATGCCTGCTGCATCCATTCGTCCTGCCATCCTGTGTATGCTTTGAAGCCTCTCTCTGTTTGTTTGATATGAATCTTTCTCTATCTCTCGCAAGTGGCTTGCGCAAGTGCACACCTTAGATCTACTTACTCGTTGCGTGAGCGAAGTATAAAATCAAGTTGGCCAGGGTATCGTTTTGTAGTTGGAAGAATGAAAGAGGAAGAAGCCTTGGGGAGACGAAAAGCACCATGAAAGTTTCACTATGTGTCCCACCTACCACAACTATATCCTGGGCGCTCGTGGACTGCCGTTGGGCTCCGCGGGCGCTCTTGACACATGTTCGGGCGAGCGGGCAGGCGGGCGAAACCCTTGGAGTCAGAGGGCTTCCGTTGGAGTTTTTGCTTGGAGATTGTTACTTTTAGCAGGGCCCAACGCGCGATATCAACAACCTTGACCAACGAAGCTGGGTGATATCGCGGGGTATGGGACTTGGCCAGTCCGATGTACCTGCTCTAGTCTAGTGGGTGATTCTTATGTCTCGCCCGAAAACAGCGATTCGTCAGTCTCGCTCCCTAGCTAAACAGGAGGCTTCTCTTTCCTCTAGCTAAAAAGACAGGAGGCTTCAAATCCTTTTTACTTACTTAGCGCGATTCACTTGTCTCGCTCCATTTTGGAACCTCTGTATGAACCCAAGTAGTGTATGTGGCAAACCGCACTTGTGTCATACGCTTTTTCTTGAATGTGTGAAACCCTTCAAGTTGACCTTCTACTTGCAATGGCCTCCCACCTAGCTGCAACGGCCTCCGACCTATTTGGGACGACCTCCTGTGTGTGAAACCCTTGGAGTCACACCTACGCTGAACCGCTGTCTTGTCTACTTGCTACTCACCTAGTAACGATGACCCCCAACCTTTGTGAGGGCCTCTCACCTTGGTTTGACGGCCTCCAACCTAAATGCGACCTTCGCCCTATATACTTTTGAGGACAAGAAGAGGACAAGGCCCAGCCACAGAGCCCAGCACAGAGGACAAGAGGAGGACAAGAGCCCAGTAAGCCATCCATAGCACACGAGCGCCCTGCTCTCTCTCTCTCTCTTGTAAAATTCAGCAGCTGTTTGTTTGTCGTTTGTTTTGTGCACGTCACTGTATTGTTTTCCTCTTGGCAATTGTCCTTAGGCTCAAGGCCTCGATCCAAGGTGCATTGTATAGCACCAAACAATTGTACATGAACACTACGACAGGGCAAGTATGCTATTGTAAAAGAACTTGTATCTTGACACCGCCCCTGGGTTTGATTCATTGTTGAATCACACCATCAATACAAACATTGTTGAAACAGTAAAGGAACATTATTGTACAAAGTTCAAGCATTGTAGACAAGTCTGTACATCTTTTCTGCCATTGTCTCTCCAGTATTGTTGCCTTTCTCATCGTAGTGCTCGTGTGGCATTGTCATAGCTGGAGATCAGCAGCTTGTTGAACCATTGTTCTAGCCCTCCATGTCGCCCATCTGACTTTCTTGGGCTTCTGAGGATTGTCTGGGACGTTTGTCCCTTTCTCTTCCTCCTCGTCCTCAGATTTCTCCAGGTCAATTGTCTTGTCACGCTCCTTGATGTAGGAGCTGTGGTCAGGATGACCTCGTTGTTGCCTCTTTGGGATTGTCACGTGGTAGGTGTCGATCTTCTTGTCCGCCTTGTACACTCCAAGGGCCAATTGTACATCTGGCGGGAGCTGGGACTGACCAAATTGTCCAAGATGCGCCGAGGCCATCCCAAAGATTGTATGATGAGGCGAATCTTCTGAAATGGTCAGCATTGACCTCACGTGCATTGTGCGGCCATAGTTCCAAACCCAGCCATTCGACCAGTTGTACGCATTGTAGTTCAGGTAGAGCGCCCGCAGATTGTTCTTTTCAGCTTCTGTGAAGTGATAGTCATAGGGCGCGTGAACTTGTAGGACTTGGACGCTGTATCCCCTCTGGAATGATGTCAACATCTTTTGTGACATGTGACGCGCCATATTGTGTGCATCAAAGGCTATTGCCAAAACGATTGTCACTTCGCTCGTCATTGTGTGGCCCATCGATTGGTATGCGAGCCACTGAATTGCTTCCTCTGTTGTGAGAACCATAATGAATTGTTCCCAATTCCCCGGCTTTCGCAGCTTGTCGGGCAGCTTGTCGATCTCGTTGTTTCCATTCAACATGTTTGTATACTCTGCCATTGTGACAGCTGCAACCCAGTAAGTCGTAATATTGTCGAGGACATCGCTCCAAGCGCTGTCCTTGTAGTTCGAGGGCAGCAGGATCTTGATTTCAATCTTGTCCTCATTGTAGATGATTGCCCTGTCTTCCCACAGCGAGACTGTCGAGTTCGTTGGTATCCTGCGCTGATTGTGGTAGTCGGCAACTGTCGTCTCAACTGCCATTGGTGCCCTTGAGATTGTTCTCGAGGATGTCGGTCCAAATTGTCACAGCTTGTGAGCTTGAAGGCGGCTGCGGTCAAAAATTGTCGACAAATTGTCAACCAAACATGCAGTGTCATCCAAATTCTGAAAGCAAGACTTCAAACACATTGTTCATCGAATTGTTCTCCGAAACGACGGAAAGAAAGATTGGATCGAGTTGTGAGACTGACATCTTGTAGTACATATTGTCTATGACATAGTATGCACATAGTAGGTAAAGTAGTGTGGCATGGCTTGATGCCCCCGTGTGTGTATTGTACACGCATAGATGCTGCCATGGTTGTGAAACTGTTTGTACGGCCGTTGTTCAGTTGTGATGTTGTGGGCATTGGTACCAGTTGTTGTATGAAGAGGTACTTTAGGTCAATGTGCGTTGCTTTCTTTGATGAGCCAATTCTTGTTGCTATGCTCTTCCCGCTTGTGCTGTCGGTGTGTATGCGGATGTTCACCTTTGTTGTTGTTGCTTCCTTGATGAAGTTTGGTATATGTAGTCCTTCTTGTGCTCCTGTGCCAATTGCAGAAAGCTCTGATTCTGCCGATGATAGTGCTACTACTGCTTGCGTTCTGCTTCCAAATTGTACCACGGATACCATCATTGTCACGATGAATCTACTTGTTGCTTTTCTTGTGCTTGGGCATCCTGCCCAGTCCGCATCAACATACATGTTGAGGTCAATGGGTTCCTTTGTTTGTGGTGTATGTGTTGTCCTCAGGATCATTTTGTAATGTTGTGTTGCTCTGAGGTATCGTAAAAGATGTTTCACCTTGCGCAGGCTTTGTTGTGTTGGTTGTTGTAGGTCTCGTGCCAGCTGGTGTCTGGTCTTGTGTAGGTCAGCCCTTGAAGCTTTCGTACTGCTCTCCTGTAGTCTGCATGTTCTTGTGCATCTAAAGGCGCATCATCGTTTGTGGATTGTTTCAGGGTTGCCGTCCCTGGAGCTGATGCTGGATTGCTTGCTTCCATTTTTGTTTCCTTCAGCGATGTGGTGATGTATTCTGGTTTGAGGCTTACCTCAAAGAAGTCTCCATTGTTGTGGATGTCTCTGCCAAGGAATTGGATTGTCTGACCAATCCCCAAGGTGCCGGTTGGTCGCAGTAGCACATGCATTTAAATTTGTACTTCTTTGAAAGTCTTGTCGACTTCTTGCTGTTGTCCCAAGAATAGTAGGTCGTCTACATAGACCATCACAAACATTGTCTGTTCATTGTTCCTGTATATACGTTGGGTTCGCTTGTCAGTCGAGACAGTCCGATTTGTTGTAGTACTTGTGCAAAGTGAACCTGCCAAGATTTTGGACTTGATCGTAGTCCATAGATTGCTTTGTTGAGCTTCCATACTGCGGTTGTGTTGTGACCACTTGGGTATAGTTCTGGCGGCGGTCACATGTAAAGATTGTCTGTTGCTGCTGGGGCATGTAGGAATGCTGTTGATACATCTCCTGCTTGTATTGTCCAGTGGTTGCGTTGTGCCATTGTCAGTCGGATGCGTAAGATCCCAAAGATTGGTGTGCTCGCATACATGTTGTCAAGGTCTTGGATTGTTTCCAAGTAGCCTTTTGCTACTATGCGGCATCGCGCTTCATCTTGTTTGGGTTTGTTAACCCGCTTGGATTCTATGATCCTGTTCTTGTGTTCTTCAGGGACACCATTCTAGTTCATCTCTGTGAACACTCCTTGTGTCTTCATCGATTGTGCTTCTTTCTTCATTCCTTGTTGTACTTTCAATGGATCAAGACCTTCATTGTCGTAGACGAAGGGTTCTTGTAACGTCCTCTCCACGTCTGCTTCTGGTTCATCTTCACAGGATGCTGTGGTGATCTTGTCACCTTTCTTTGTGGTGATTGTCACTGCTCGTATTCTCATCTTTGCTTTTGGTTGTTCTTCATCTTGTCCTCGGTTTGCTGCTGACTGTGGTGTCCTTGATTGTTTGGAGTGTGCTTCGCCTATAGGCTCCTCGTGTTGTCGCTTGCTTGCTGGTGGTATTGGCAGTGGTGGTCTTGCCATTGTTGTTGGTGAAGTTGCCAATGGTGATGTTGCCATTGTCGTCTCCATTGGCTGATGGTGCATTGCTCGCGCTGGTAGCGCCAGTGGTGTCTCTTGTATTGTCTGTGCGCTTGTATCTTCCACTGTAATGTCGGCTTGTGTGCCAATTGCTTGTCAGCTTGCGATGTTGTCAGCTGGTAGAAGCAATTGTGGTGGAATTGCCATTGTATGTTGGTGTTGGCAAATTCCATGGATACACGTTGATAGTATCCAATAGTTGCTTGTCGTACTTGTCTGGCATGATCTGTCTTCGTATTGTTC